ACAAACCCCCATACCCTCACACCCCCATACTCACATGCCCACAGGCCTCTACAAACCCCAAATTCACCCACATCCCCCCACAATATAGAAGAGCAAGACTTCATTTTGAGGTATTATGTAATTACCTCTATACATGCAATGCAAATACACAAAATCAGAACAAAAATATATTTTTTAAATAAAATTAAAATATGTTATTGTCAATGTTCAATTTTTAGTATATAAATTGTTGGTTTTCTTCTGGTTCCAAGATGGCAAACCCCCTTCCCAAAAGAAGTACTTCTGAGGGCAAGTGGTGAGACTTCTGGTGGCAACAATCAGTAGTTAGGGAGCTGGACTTCCGGTCCCAAGATGGTGACCAGAGGGTGGGCCACCTGTCAAGGGGCAGGGCTACCCTTGCAGCCTATGACAGCTCATCAAAACTCATTAAGCGGCCCTCCAGCCAAAATAATTGCCCATCCCCTGGTCTAGCATTTACGGTTTTTTTCTTTTTTTCTTACATAAAAAGTCAGACATTTACATTTAGGGTGAGAATACAATGCCTTACCATCCCTAAATTAAAGCCAGCTGTGGTCTAAACCTAGCCAAGCCTAAGTGGTATAGTACCTCTTGTTAGTTCAGAAGTAGCGATGCCTAAATACAGAGGCAGCCAGATCTAAACTCTACCAGGCATGGTTCAGGATATGCACGTAACTCAAGGGTGTCAAACATACGACCCATGAAACTGTTCCATCTGGCCCACCAGCAGGCTACTGGATACTGAAACTAGTTGGGGAGGGAGCATGGTCTGCCAGCAGAATTCAGGGCCCCTGGACCCTGATAGATACAACCATTAGTGGCAGCTCCCCTGACCCTCACCCAAACACAGTCCCACTGGCTGTTGTTGGTCCTCAAGCCACAGCTTTGTAAAAGTCTCCAACTGTTGTGCTAAATGCATCACAGAACTCAGAGCAGGTCCATACGGAGAACTTTATTTTAGCACTATGGCTGCAGCTAGCGTTAAAGCAAACTGGCGCTGGTACAGTGGTGAGAGATTTTTTTTCCCAAAAAAAACTTAATGTAGTTCTTGTAGAGCAATCATGCTTAGCCCTTAAAAGGTAAAAGGTGCTCAGTACAGCACAACCATCAGAATTCTTTGCATGTAAACTGGTCACCATAGCTCTTTCTTTAGGCATACCCATCAACTATTCAATAGGAAAGATGGGAGTTATAATAAGGGAATTAGAAGGATGGTGTTTAGGCAGAGGGGGAAAAGTAGATACACCCATATTTTTGTTTAAGGGTATGCAAAGACCCTCTCTTACTGTGCCCCCACCCTCCCCAGCTGAATGGGAATTCAACTCCTATACTCCAAAACAAGTTGTCCAACTTGTGGCCCCCAAGGGGTTAAGTTACAGCCTGGGGGCTCCTGCCTGGCCACAATTCTCACCAGTGTTCCTGCTGCTGCCAGGAGGGGGGTCCAGTCCAGTCCAGGTGGCCTGCAGGGCTGGAAGGGCCACACCCTGCATGGTTCGGGGGCCCAGAGGGCTGTGCACCATGTGGCCCTGGGTCCCTTAGAAGCTGGACAGCCCTGCTTTGGAAGAGTTCCTGAACATAGGCCCATGTTGCAAAACAATTCCTTTCCAACTTAAGATACTGCACAAGGTATGTAAGGGAGTTTAAACATCTTCCACTGAAGTATTTGGAACTAGCCACTACTACAGGCAAAAGTACAAGACTAGATCATATCATTCAGTCTGGCTATTCCTATATGAACCCTATTCTCAGGAAGTAGGAAAAAGAGCCTACTAATATGCACTTGACAAGATTAAGAGATTCGGGGGATAATGTTTATCTACATTCCACATGAAAATGTTCAAGCAAATTAATACCTCTAACATCCGCATGAGAATATCTCTGCCATTGCCATTTTCCTGTTCACTTTTGGAACGGATACAGTCTACCAGGTTCAGCAGAAGCTTGCAAGACATTGTCTGGATACTGCTAGGTAATGATTCATCATCTATGTTCTTGGCAAACAGCTGGACAGCAAGGGAGAGATCATTCAGTGGTAAATGTTGACGGACATGATGTACCAGGTCTGCAAGAGTACTGTATGCAAGAGGTCTAAAATAAAAAGAGCAAATATCATATGGATTATATAGCTATTATCTGCCATTATTCTGATATTATATCTATAAAAAGCTATTTTAAAAAGGTATTAAAATTCTAATCACAAGTGAATAGTCACACTTAAAACTGTGTTTTAACCCACCCATATATATACAAAGGTATAAACTTCATATACATTTTACACATAGGAGAAGAGTATAAAGAACTTATTTACACCTAATATTCCTTCCCCAAGTTTTATTTCTCCTCTTTACAACCTAGTTACCAACAGGCATGTTCTTCAAATGCACACTTACATGAACCTTTTGTAATTCCCAAACTTAAAAAAGTTTATACACATAAATATGTTTATTCTGCATACCATATGCCCACAGGAACAATTTAAGGGCACAACAGCTGCATCTGTTGTGCTATAACATTTGTGGGGGTTTTTCCCCAGCAAAAAAGGTTATAGATTTGCAAATGTGAGTTTGTATTTTAACAAAAAACAGAGGTTTCATTCAACTACGTTTAAAAAAATAGTAGCTTGTCTGGCAATAACACTTGTGTGCATCTTGCTACATACAGAACACAGGGTAGAGATGCAAACAGAGATGCATAAAAGTTCATCAACAACAGTTCACTTCATCTGATGCTAACCCAACTATCTCCCTCTTTCCAGCCAAAACAGGAGACTCACACAACAGTATGACACCCCAGTATGCTAACCTACAAAGAAACTTAAACACATAAAACCCTAAATAAAAAATAAATTAAACTTTAAAAAAAATCTAATTTACTTCAGAAATAATTTGCAAACTAAAGTGTTTAAATCACTGAGAGACTATTTGTTTCATAATACTAACATCATCAAGATGAATACATGAAAATTAATTCTTCTTGCATACCTACCAAGACCGAAACTCAATGCCATCATTTGTGCTTAAAAAGGTAGGAAAATCTCTGAACTAAGATCATAGTACATAAAATATTCTCTTTAAAAATGTATTTATAATTTTCAGCTGCACACTGAGTTACCAACTTAAAATTAATGCAAACTTTTCACTTTGCTGCTACCTATCATTTCAGGAATGTGATGCAACTGGTTTAATTTAGGGGTTTTTGTTCGAATGAATGGAAGTGTAAATTTTGCTGAAACCAGAAAAAAATCTTGACCCCCTAATATTCCTTCTTCCCCACAGTAAGTGTGTTTGAAAAGCCCTGCAAGTCAAGGAAATAGAGTTTTTCCCCACGTCTTTCATTTCACTCTCCACTCATACACTTTTGCTCAGAGACCACACAATCATAGATGCATTCATTACAGACTCTGTTAAACACCACTTAAAAAAACCACACAATACTGGCATGCACAGATGCTCCAGTTTTGTTATACCTCAGCGTCTCTCGAGCAGTGTATCCAGAGCCAATTAGTATAGACTCGTCGAATAGTTTGTCCATGCATGGAATAAATTCTATAATGCAAAAAAAGTATAGATATCACCAGAAAGATAAGTAAAACCAAAAACAACTGAGCATTGCGTCATTTAGCTAATATACATACACCATAAATACAATATGTGTAGTCTACTACTCAGCAGCATTCACTTAACTATAAATTCTGCAATCAGTTTCTCCTTTAAACATCATATTTTAGCATGTATTCCAAGCAATAAAATTGGTACAGTGAAAAAAATTGCAGTTGTCAACAGAAAGGCATCTGCTTATAATAAGCAATTCTAAATTGGAAAAAAAAAAAAAAAAAAAAAAAAAAAATCAGGCCCTGTTAAATGAACAAGTGGCATTCAAGGGTGTTACTACACAGTACAACCTTAATTTTTCAATCACCTCTCTCACAAACTACTTATGTATCATGCATCTCAGTCTATTTTGATGTATGACAGGCCAAGATGAACAATTAACGTCTGGACAAAGTCTAGAAACGAAGACAAAGGCAACACAGTAATGGTCAAGAAGAAATAAAACCATTAAGAAGGCTGGTTCACTTAGTGTCCCATTTATGTAAAAACACAGTGAGAAGTCCACTGCTAATCAGAGGGGCAAGTAGGAAGAGCAAGAAAATGTCTATTAGTTAGGAAGGCATGAAGAATACTTGAAGCTAAGGGTGGCAATTTTGAACTGATTCTTAGATGATCAGGGAGCCAAAGGAGTCTGTTTTAATTGGCCATAGATGTGTGCTCATGCATACATGGGGAGGAAAGACAAGTTGCTTGCATTGTTGCAGGACAGCTTAAATCTAAGGAAGACACAGAGTAAACAGATGCAATAATAATTAACACATCTGGAGTGTCCCAATTCCTGAGGTCTTTATAAATCAATGAACTAGCTACTTTATCAGAGGAGACAAATAAGATAAAGAGTTCAAAAACAGCTGAGATTCACTACTGTATAGGAGGAATACAATACCATGGTGGTGGTGACTGACGTGGAAAGAGAAGAGTTTAGTTCAAGGCTAGTACAGAGAGTGGAGCAAACTGAAGATCTGAGCCCAGAAAGAAACAGGATGGGCACGTAAACAGGTCTGACAATAGCACACTTGCTCAAGAGATGCAATTGTCATAAAAGATGGAGCTAAGCAAGGAGAAGAAAATCAAGTCCTATTGTTCAAGGCAGGCACAGAAAGCAGCCAGTATGTAAACTCCATGTCCAATACAATCTTCATGGGTTTTTTCCTTTTCCTTTCTGTTATATTAAAATGTGTAGTAACAAAGTTAAGGTGAAGTATACAGGGTGTACACTAACAAGATTCACTCATGGTTATTAAACATTAAACACACTTCGCTTAAAGATTTAATAGAGGTGCAAGACAAAATTAGGATCTTAGAACTCGGAAAATTGAATCTAAGTTTTATCGTTTTAGTCTTGCAAAATAACAAAGCTGTTTTTATTTTAAAAATGGGAAGCAGCAGAGATAAAAATAATTAAATATGCATGGTCTCTAAATTGCACTTTGATTTTAAAACAGAATTGGAAAAATTGCTTTTAGTCGCAAAACGTTAGCCTGAGACCTGCACACAGAAAGTGAATGCATGTATCCTATTTTCTGGTCAGTTAATTGGTATCACAACAGGTGGGTCACCCCTGTGGACAACAGCAAAGAGTGTGGTGGGGGCAGGAGATAGGAACCCATACAGCAAAGATGAAAACTAAACAACTAAAACTATGAGAAGCAAATTACTCTCAAACAGAGCAATCCAGCCAGAAGACCAATCCTCCCCAGACTGAAAACAGTCACCATGAAAACAGGGATACCAGATTAATCATATGCTTATTTTCCTAAGCACATACAGGTGTACAAGAATAGGCCCTACTATAAAGTACTTATCACTAATAATAAGTAGGCAGTGCACAGGTTTTAAAAATGGAAAGTTCTGCCAAAAATGTCTGTTTTATTCTAAATCACACTCTATGACAGTACAGTTTTCCAGCCTGGGACAAAAGGAAGATATTAAGGGAGGGGGGAGAAACACAACACTACGTTCATCATTTTCTCAGTAACTTTACCACCTGAAGAACAGAGAATACAAAATAGCCCAAGCTAAGTAACTGGGCAAGAATCAATAACAGTTAATGGTTTAAAAAAGAAAACAAAAAGGAAGTGCCAAATTGAGACATCTACAATTTTTAGGCTCATTCTAAAAAAAATTTTAAAATACATACGACTCCTCAAGTCAGTGGTTAGAATGTGCTTAGCAGCTATTAAAAGTTCCTTTCGGAGATGTGCCGTTTCTGCTGGACAATTAGACAATAACTGCAGCATTCCTTTTACCATTTGCTGAGAGTACTTAGCCACCAAATCCTGCAAAGTAAATACATTATATTTGTACTGCACACCATTTTTAAATTTTCTGTATATTTATATAGTAACATAGAGTGTCGCATCTGATGGAAATTCACCGATTTCCCTCTTTCAGATTTAAGAGCTGGCATATGGTTCTAGGGTTACAGAGACTGGACTAAATTTTCTTGCTTAAATTTTTCATGTATAAAACAATTACACTGAGCAGACAAGTGTTCTGGAGGTGCCTTCTGCAGCGGAAATGGATACAGACTTGGATTTAAGTTTACTTTTAAACTCTGACAAAATATATAACTCCAAATAAACTTCTAATTCCAAACTGGTACACAAGTCTCTCCCATTCCTAGCCCCAGATGAACCTTTCCTACTTATTCTCTGGGTGCTGCCCTACAAGAGAACTTATTTTATAAACCAGTGACAAGATCTTTAACACAACCTACCTGGTAAATTCTTATAATGTAAGCCAAGAATGACAATGTTTTAATCTGAGCAGCGATAAAGTCAGCGTACAACTCCTTATTGTAAAGTTTATGTTGCCTGAAATTGAATTGAATAAGGGTTACCAACGATTCATCCTTCTCTTTCTTTATAGTGAGTTTAGAGCTCATGAGAGCTGTCAGACTGTGGCCCGCTTAAGTAGTCAAACCTTTCCCCCTTTGCCTTGCAGGAGGATAAATGCTGCCTGGGAAGCCCCATTCTTAATGGCTCAAGCTCCTTGCCCATTCAAGTCTCAACCTCTCAGGCAACAAGCAGAAACATTAAATATGCAGACCCCTGCATGCACTATGACAGGGATGCCCAACCTGCAGCACCTGTGCCACAACTGGCATGGGCAACCATTGTGTTGCACAGTAGCAGATAGGGCAGGAAGCA